GATGAGGATGAACGTCAACTACTGGGAGAATTTGAGAAGGAACTGGAAGGGATATTGCTCCCATCAGACCGAGAGCGGTTCCGTTCAGAGGTGAAGGCTGGCATGGAACGGGAGCTGGAGAATATCATCCAGGAGGCAAGTCCAGCTCTTATTCCTGAGGCTCCCACAGTTGCCAGCTCCTATGGGGCAGGATGGTACAGCACCGAGCACAGCTCAGGTCATGGCACAGGCACTTCAACATGATGGTTGTTTACTTAATTAAAAGGGGGTGATAGGGAAGAGACAATAGAGAAAGGGATAAGACCCAGTTATTAGAATCCTGCAGAGAAAAGCAAACCCACTGTCCTCAACTCCCCAGGCCCTTGACTCTCTGCCCTGTCTTGGGCATTTCAGACAGAAAAGGAGCTGGACCCAGATGGGCTGAAGAAGGAGTCGGAGCGTGATCGGGCAATGCTGGCTCTGACATCCACACTTAACAAACTCATCAAAAAGCTGGAGGAAAAACAGAGTCCAGAGCTGGTGAAAAAGTACAAGAAAAAGAGAGTTGTCCCCAAAAAGCCTCCACCCTCACCCCACCCTACAGGTGAGAGCTGTCAGATAAGAAGGAGCAGCTGGGTTTGCTGTCTCTATCCCTCAGCTGGTGCTGTTCCTGGAGGGCACCGTGTTCTTTCCCTTCTGAGAGTGCACATTCTCTTCCTGATTTCTAGAACACTTCTTACCACTGTCTTCCCTTTGCATGACCTCCTAGTCATGCTTTTGGAAAGCAGCCTTTAAGTATGTCTGTCTTGATTTCTGGTTTGCTTTCTGTGCATCCAGAGCCTACCACTCTGGCTGGCTCATAGATATAATCTGATTGGCCATGAGCATAAATGCTGAAAACCACAATCTGTGAAGTCTGTCAACTTTAGGACTTTGCACTGGGAGAGTCCCCAGCTGTCAGGGTATGAATAGGCAAGCCCAGTGGCACATAAGCCACCAGGCTGTACAAAACTTTTTAAAGTTTTTCTTTCTTGTATCCCCTTGTGTTCATGCCACAGGGGAATTCCATAGATGTGGAGATCAGACATTCCAGATGGAACATTCTAGTTTCAGACCTTCCTCATTCTTTCTGTAAACATTGAAAGGTCTGTAAAGTTCCAGAATGTGGAGAGCCAAACTACATTTTTCCAGCCTGCTCCTTAAAACAAAACTTCTTTGTTGGTGCAGGCAGCCTGATATTTGCTTTCAGAAAACAGACATTTTCCTGTAGATGATGAGCAGAATTACTGGCTGGGATGGGAAGAAACAATGCTATAGTGATGGCCAGGGTGGGGATGTGGGGGACGGATTTTTTTTTTTTTTTTTTTTGAGCCCTGGCTCACTTACATGTTGACATATATAGCCACCAAAACCAATTCACGGCTTAGGAAGAGGTGACCACCCTAGCCCCTAACCCTGGAGTCACGGCTCTGCTTTGTGTCTCCCTGTGTGTCTCCCCCTCTAAGAGGAGGATCCTGAGCACAGAGTCCGGGTCCGGGTCACCAAGCTCCGTCACGGAGGCCCCAATCAGGATCTGACTGTCCTCGAGATGAAACGGGAAAACCCACAACTGAAACAAATCGAGGGGCTGGTGAAAGAACTGCTGGAGAGGGAGGGACTCACAGCTGAAGGTGGGCCCTGGAGGGCGGGCTGATTAAGAGCTGTTGGAAGGGCTTGCCGCTGAAGTGGAGGGGCTGGGTCAAGGTGGACTGGAAACTTCAGCTGGGAACCTGGGGGCAGGGGACCTGCCCTTAGGCTCCCAGCCTTCCCTCCTCATTACCCATACTGCTCCTCTACAGGGAAAATTGAGATCAAAATTGTCCGCCCTGGGGCTGAAGGGACTGAGGAGGATGCACGTTGGCTAACTGATGAGGACACGAAAAACCTCAAGGAGATTTTCTTCAATATTTTGGTGAGGCATCCTACCCCAAAGTCCCCAACTCCAGCCTTCCCTCTTCTAGCACATTGTGCTGCTGGGAGTATGGTTTAAAGTCACAATGGCATGTCCCAGCCTTGCCCCATGCTGAGCTGTGGTCTGTAAGACTGTAAAGCAAAGCTAATGTTCTGGCTGAGTATGGGCTGCCTGCCATTCAGGAAGAGCCCCTTAGGAATCTGTGTTCCTAGTCCCTGCCTTCACCACTCCCAGTCTCAGTACCTCTCTGGATCCTGAAGCACCCAGCACTTCCCTTAGCCCCCAGACAGCATCTCCTGCTCACCCCTATCCTGCCACCAGGTGCAGGGAGCTGAAGAAGCCCACAAAGAGCGCCAGCGGCAAAAAGAACTGGAGAGCAACTATCGCCGAGTGTGGGGCTCTCAAGATGGAGAAGGCACAGGGGACCTGGATGAGTTTGACTTCTGAAACTACCACAACAAGACCCTCCAAAGAGTACAGAGTCTTCCTGAATGGCCCTGCCTCCTCCTCATCTCCCACCCCTGGGGCCCTGAAGGCAAAATGGTGAAGAGGAACTGAGCTGTAGGCATCTGAGCCCCCAGCTCTAGGGTGTGGAGGGCATGGGGTGAGTTCTGCTGGAGCTACCCAGCTGCCTCACACCTCATTGGGCTTGGGATTTTGCTCTCCCAGGCTCCCCCATATGCTCTTTCTTTCTTCCTCAGCTTTCCTTGCTATTATCCCCCAACTTGTTGGTTTTTTCTTCCTCCTACCTAGAGATTCAGTGAGATCTTTTGAACTAGCAGGGCGTTTAGCAGGCTCCAAGAAAGTGGCTGCCCACCCCTGCCCTGTTGCTGTGTGGAGTTGTTTTACCCCCCATCTCTTGGATTGACTTGGGATTTCCTTCTCCCTTTCCCTGTTCCCACTGTCCTCTACAATCTGCAATTCTGAGTCGAGGATCCTTCACCTCTGTTGCTGAGGAAATGGGAGACCATTGCACATACCTCAGACACAGTCCCAGCAAAGAGGGTGGGGTGCAGACCCACCCGCTGTGTTCTTCAACAATCAGGTTTCTAAATAAAGAACTGGACCATCAGTCCATCAGCCTTTTTGGGGGATGGGAGGGGGTAGGTGGAGGGTGCTCTCATAGGGAGGAGGCTTGCTGTTCTTTTCAGACCAGAGGGCACACATCCCAGGTGGTATCAGTGAGCGTGGTATACATACACACAGACCACGACAAAGCCACCTGGCAGGGAGCTAAAGACCTATAATACTGTTCTCTCTCCATATCTTCATCTGTTGTTTCTTCCCTTTTTATTTTTTTAAACTTCTGCCTTGCTGGGCCTTTAATCCAGAGCCTTGCACATGCTACCACTAAGCTGTACCTCCAGCTCACTTCCCTCCCTTCCTTAGCACCAACTCCTTCCTTATCTTCTCCCCCTTGACATCATGTACCATATGCACACTGTGGAGTTGTACCCCTGACCCCAGACCTGGACATCTTCCTTTTGCTGAGCTCTTTCCCTGCAGCATATTCCAGGTTCCATTTGCCAGCCACACCCCATGCTCCTCACAGCTATTCCCCAGAGGGGAAAAATAGTGAAATGACTTGTTCAAGGCCCACTTTTAGGAGATAGAAGAGTGAAGACTTGAACTTAATGCTCTGCCTATAAGCCATTTCCAAGGCAGATTTTTTTAAATATCATTTTTTATTTTTGTTTATTTTTTATGTGGTGATGGGGATTGAACTCAGGGCCTCATGCTTGGTAGGCAGGTGCTTTACCGCTGAGCTATCTCCCCAGCCCCCAAGGCAGTTTTTTGTTGTTGAAACCAAAAAACATCAACCTTTTTTTTCCAGAGAGGGCTGACACTCATGCATGCCTGCTTCTTAATATGCCAGGGGTAGGTGGGCCTGCCAAGTGTAGGTGTGGATCCCCCCACATTCCTTCTTCCTTCTCCAAGGGCAGAGACTCTCCTGTTGCTCCACAGCTCAGAGGTGTACAGCCTTCCTGCTGAAGTCTCCACTGGCTTACAAGATAAGGAAAGGGACAGAAGACACAGAATGTCTTCAAAAGTGAGAGGGGAGGGATTCAGTTGTTGAAGGAAGTTTCATATGGACTAGTGGTTATTGTGTGCGTTATGCTTAAATTGTTTTGTTTTTAAATGTAAGTGGGTAGATTTATAAATCCTGATTCCTGAGATTCATGTGTGTATCTTGAGAGGGGTGCTTCAGCTGGGCAAGAATTTAGAAACTGTCCTTTGGAGCCAGGCCTAATGGCTTACACCTTTAATTCCAGTTACTTAGGATGCTGAGGCAGAAGGATCATGAGTTCAAGGCCAGCCTCTGCAATGTAGCTAGAACTGTCTCAACAAAAAAGAAATGCCTTGGGAATGGCTTATAGACAGAGCACTAAGTTCAAATCATTACTCTTCTATCTCCGTAAGTGGGCCTTGAACACGTCATTTCACCATTTTTTTAATACCGAGGATTGAACCCAGAGGTGTTTTACCACTGAGCCACACTTCCAGCCCTTTTAATTTTATATTTAAATTTTTTTTTTACTTGTAGATGGACACAATACCTTTATTTTGTTTATTTTTATGTGGTGTTGAGGATTGAACCCAGTGCCTCACATATGCTAGGCAAGCACTGTACCATTGAGCTACAAGCCTCCTTTTTATTTTTTATTTTGAGACAGGGTCTCACTAAGTTGTTTAGGGTCTTGCTAAACTGCTGAGGGAGTTTGGCTTTGAACTTGCCATTCTCCTGTCTTGGCTTCCTGAGCCGCTGGGGTTAGACGTGTGCATCATTTCATTTTTCAAATTGTGTTTCCTCATTGGTACGCTGTGGCTAGAAGTATCACTGGCCCTACTGTTCATGCCCTTCACACAGGATCTGTCCATAGTAACTTATAAACCAGCTTCCAAGTTCACAAGATATAGAGTATTTGTAGAGAAAGAGTCTTAAAAGGAATTCCAAAAGTTGATCAGATGCTACAGTAGAATCTTTAAGAATGGGAAGGGTGAGATGCTGGGACAGGAGGTTATCTTTGGTTTGACGGGGATGGAGTCCCAGCAAGATCAGAAAACTGAATTCTGGAAACATCACTGTATTTAATCATTTTGTACTTTCAATAATAAATTCCTTTTTACTTCCTTTGGCTTTTGGCAAAACTCCCATGGAAGTCAGTCTGCCCCAGCTGTGCTAAGGCAAACAGAAGGAAGGGAACAGGGTGTGTGTCAGATGGCTTCTTGGAGGGGATGAGGAGTGGGTTGAGGGATGGCAACAGGAACCCAAGCAAGGAAACCCATGGTGAGCTGTGAGGCACACAGACATAAAGGGGCAGCAGCAACTCTCCTTCACCCACCTAGGGCGTCCCCTTCTAGAGTCTTATTATGCCATAACCTAGAAGGTTTAATTTTTTTGTCACCTCCATCTATCTCTCCTCAAGACCAAAAATACAGGACATTAAAAAAAAAAAAAAAGGGTCAGGTGGATTATTTGTTGGTGGGATCTGCTGTGCAGTTTGCCAACACCTCAACCATTTTTGCTGTCTAGAAATAAAAGGACCTTCCCTTTGGCCTGTGGTTCCCTTTGCAGGTAGCTTTATTCTCTTGGGGTTCTTGTTTCCTCCCTGTACTCACACTCAGAGTTTTTTAGGAAGTGAGTGAGCTTTAGCCATGATGAAGGAAGGTGAAGATGAAGTAAGGGAGTTCAGGTCTGAGCTAAGGGACAAATGACCAGGTCCTCTAGGAGGACCATCTTCCTCTCACTTCACCCAGACCACACACCTGTCCCTGTCCCTGCATCACTGCATCTACCTCTCTGTGGTCCTTGGTGATCATCCATGCTACACAGCAGAAGGCAGCATGTGAGTTGGACCTGGGCCTGGCACTGCAATTATACTTCATCAGCTTGCTGGAATATCTATAGCTGAGTGTCTGAGGGCTGAGAGGCACCATAAGTTGGAACTACCCTACCCAAAGATACTGGTGCCACCAACGTGTGATGGAATGCAACATGTGGCATCTGTGTCCAACCTGCACCAGTTAGTGGCCTACAGCACCACCCTGCCCAGCCTCTCCATCAGGGCAGATGCTTTCAGCTATATACAGGAAATGGTGGAACTGGCTACTGAGGCGGTACAGCAGCTCCAGCAACTGTGATAAGGGTGGCCCCACTGATGACACAGGTGGGCAAATGCATCAGCTAGTATGGAGTTTATGGACATCAGGGACCTACAACTGGCTGGGAAATCATTCCCAGATCTTTCAACCCTGCTCTCCCTAGCACCCCCTGACTGGGGCCAGGAACAGGATCCCTATTATTAGCTCTACTCTAGTACTTGGTACTCAAGGTGAGTAGGCTGGAGTAGGGCAGTCCTCCAGGGCTAGAGCGCCTACCAGGTGTCTTCTGAACGGATTTCTCAGATCACAAATAAATAGATGCCTCCAAGGTCAACTGCCTCAGGTCCCCTAGTTAGGGAATGGAGGGTCAGGTTTCAAAATCAGATCTGTTCCTACTCTTAACCAGGGTGACCACGTCATTTCACCACACACCCACCACCTACCACAGCCTTATCTGTTCCTCCAAGCATCACATTCGAACTCTTCCAGAACTGGTATCATCTTCTAAATGTGACTTCTTTGCTTCCAAGTTCCCCACAGTTCTTTCCACTGCATGAACCCAGGACTGTTGTACAAGAGGGAACCACCTCCATGCCCATTGGTACTTCCCTGCTTCAGGTCAGTGGGAGGGACTTCTGCCTGGCCCTTTCCCACCTCCAGTTCTGGGCCTTCACCAAGGCCGTACCCTGACTTGTCTCTTCAAGAACAGACCAGCAGCTCACCCCCTAGACAAAATCACTTCCTCTTTAATTGCTGTTGAAGTTTCACACCACCTGCCTCAGAGGAGATGAGGGGGGCATCCCTTGCTCCCCCACCCCCGCTCCCTCCCCAATTACCTGGTCTTTTGCAAATTATTTTAGCCAGGAAAAAAAAAAAAGACCGGAAACCACTGACACAGACAGCCCAAGGACTGGGTTGATTGAGGGAGGCAGGGCTCAGGTTAAGTTCACCCCACCACCCCCATTCTGGGGATGGGGCAGGGGGCCTGGAAATCCAACCACTGCACATCCTCTCAGCCCTGGCTGGGAGAGAGCACTGGGGTGAGGGACAGGTCTGGAGCTGCTCCAGTGGGAGGGAGGGGCTGGACAGAAAGAAATAATGGGGGAGGGGTCCCATTTCAGGGGTGCCCCCTACCCCAGATCACCACGGGCGCTGCACAGTCACAGGTACGCAGTCACAGGCACAGACACAACCCGAGAGCACCCCCACCCCACCCCACCCCCTGCCCACCCTTGGCTCCCCCTACCCCAGAACGCCCTCCCCACGCCCATGCCCACCCCACTCCCATGTTGGGGAACAAAGCAATAAATTACAAGGCCCCTCCCCAGCCCCCTTAGCCTGCTCCTGCTTCATCCTTTCTCCCTCCCAAGATATTAGGGGAAGGACCCAGGATCTTGGCTCCCCCTGGCCTTTTACTGTTACCCATGGGTAGGTGTAGGGGAACATCCTTATTTCCTCATGGTCCCTTTCACGGAAAGGGTTGGGGACCCCTCCACCTCCACAGGCAGCAGGGGTCCTGCCCCTCGCTGCCCTTCCCCCATTTACTGGGCAGTGAGATCAGCATTGAAGGGTCGGGGGCCCCGGTATCGGCCCCAAGTCCCAGGGCTAGCGCTCCACGTACTAACCCCTCCCTCTGGCGTGGCGTCGCCCCAGGAGCCAGCCTGGGTTTGGGCTCCTGCCGTGGATTGTTGAATGCAGGCAGGACTGGGTCTTTTTCCCGCCCCTAGAGGGCGCGGGCGGGCATGTCCAAGCGCCCTGGAACCGGTACCGCGGCAGGGACGTCCCTTTCTGCAAACACCGAGCGGGTAGACCCAGAGCAATCCGAGGGTGGAAACAGTGGAGAGGGAGCGTGTTGAGCTGGGGTGTCTCCATGCCTCATTGGGGAGAGGGAGGTGAGTTTGTGTCTTCTGGGAGGCGTGGGGGCTGTGCCCTCGTGAGGGTAGGAAGTGCTCCCGTGGGGCGGGGTGCGGATTGGAGAGGTGAGTGAGTGCATCTGTCCAGCTGTCCACCCGGTGTGTTCGTGCCCGGCCCGCATGGGGGTAGGGGTGTCTCTCCCGCTGTTGGGCAACTATACCAGCGCGAGCGGGGCGTCCGCACGGCCCACGCTGGCTGCGCTGCTCCGGCGGCGGGGGCTGGGCGTGGCAGTAATGCTGGGCGTGGTGGCCGCGCTGGGCGTGGTGGCTGTGCTGCCTCCCTCGCCTGGACACCCGTGCTGCAGAAGGATGTCGGCACACAGCTGGCTTCCAGCCTGACGGGCGTAGAACAGCGCCGTGCGGCCCTGCGCGTCGCGGGCCGCCACGTCCGCGCCATACTAGAGAGAGAAATCGCCGCGTGACCGCGCGTCCCCGAGGGGCCCACACCCACACACCGACACCCCAAGAGTTCCAAGCCCACCTCCAGGGTTTCTCTGGGAACATCGGACTCTACCGCGCTAGTCGTGTTCTGAGATGGGAGTCCTCAAAGATTCCTTTACCTACTCGTCCCCCATTCACGTACCCACAGTAGCAGTTGCGTGATGACGACGTGGGCAAGCTCGGCCGCCAGGTGAAGTGGGGAACGGAGCTGTGGGTCCTCTACGCTGGTGTCGAGCGGCCCGTGTCGCGCATGGGCCAGAAGCAGGAGAACATTGGCCACGTCCTGGGCCTGCACAGCGGCCCACAGCTGGCGGCCCAGCGGCTCCTCGGTCGTGCCCAGCGGCGCCAAGAACAGCAGCTGCTCATATTTGGCGCGAATCCATGACTCACGCTCCTCCCTACAGAACCAGGGAGCAATGGAAAAGGTTCTAGAAACCTCTAACTAGGACCTCTGTCCTCTACTCAGGGGATCCTTTCGGGCCCCAGCAACTGCCCGTCCCCGACGCCTCTGTTCCTTCACACCTACCGCGAAGAGTCCCGTGTGGGTTTGGCGCGGCCCCTAGTGTCGCTTTCCCACACGCTGTTGGCCGTGTCGTTGCCAATAGCCGTCAGCACCAGGGTCAGCTCCCGCGGCCAGTCATCCAAGTCGAGCGAACGTACGCGAGACAGGTGTGTGCCCAGGTTCCGGTGGATACCAGAACACTCGATACAGATGAGTGCGCCCAGGTTCAAGCTGGCCCACGTGGGGTCTGGGGACGGAGTGCGGGGATCGGTTTCCGGTTTTACCGACTACACCTACAGCGAACCATACTCCCTAGCCAGAGACACCACCTCCAAGGACCCTCTGCTGCCCCTTTGCACTCACTGGGGGCCCCGCAGTCGACGCAGATAGAGTTTCCTTTGGCGTTCCGGATCGCCTGGATGGCCACGGCTTCACTTTGGCTGTCTGTGCGCAGCTGCAGAGAGGGCTAGGATTACTATTGACTCTTAAAGGAACTCCCCTCTCCTCCCTCTCTCTTCTCACCCCTCTCTCCTCTCATCCCCTCAACCATTACCTTGACCTTGCTGCTCTCACAGCACTGCAGACTGGCTAAAATCTGACTCTCGATGGCCTGGACCCAGGAGTCCCTCTCCTCAAAGCTGGCTGCCTCAAAGTGCCACGTCTGACCAGTGCTGGATACGATCAGGAACTCAAAGTTTTCCTCTGGGTGGGGGATGGGATGGTGGCATAAGGGACAGAGTTCAAGCAGGGGCTGCCTTCTCAGACCCTTCCTCCCTGATGTCCATCCCGAGCCCCTGGGAGTGGGGCAGTGGGGGAAGGGGAAGCAGAGGGTCAGGGAGAGCAGGAAGCCCGAGCACATGCAGGGAGAGGCAGGGGTACCCCCACCCCTCTGCACCCCAGCTGAGCGCCCCTCCAGGCTCCCGCTTGTTACCTGCTTTATAAATATTTCTTAAACTACCAAAGGATTTTAGTTTCCACATTTTGCGCTTGGCTGGTTTCCCGAAGCGAAGGAGATAGAGATAGAATGGAGAGCAGAACAGAGAGACCAAGAAAAGAGAGGCAGATATAGAGATGGAGAGAGTGACAGAGTGCCAGAGACAAAGCAGGACAGACAGATGGGGAGAGAAAGCAGAACTAAAGTCAGTGGCCCCAGAGCAGAGTGGAGCGGAAGCCAAGAGCCATGAGAGTAGGCAGATCTGGAACCCGGGTCTGAGCACCCGGCAGAAAGCAGGGGCAGTAGGGACAGTTATCATGATCAGAGAGGAGCCGGGGGTCTCTGCAGGAGGAGGGAGGGTCAGGATCTGAGTGAACATGGGGGAAGGGAACAGAAGCTGGGACACAGGCTGGAATGAGAGGTCCCTGGGACCTAGGAATCACTGATGCCTGGGGTGGGTTACTGGGGGTCAGGAATGGTATTGCTGTGGACAGGTTTGTTGAGGGAGCCTGGTGATCACTTAAAGTTATTGAAGCAGGGGTTGGGTGGCCAGAGTCCAGGAGTTGGGGAGTCAATGGGGACACTGAGATCAGGGGCTGAGTCATTAGGGTTGGGGGTACAGGGGATGGGGTCATAAGTAGAGATGAGGATAGGAACAGGCACTAGAGAGTCATTAGGAGGGGGAGCAGGAGCTTCAGACTTATAATGTCATTGAGAACAGGGGCTGGAGATTACTGGGGGAAAGGCACTGGCTGAGGAACAGGGGAAGGATGGGCTGAGAAAAGTCCATCCATTATTCCACTCATTTATGTGCAGTGGTAATGAGAGTCAAGCACTCAGCTCAGGCACTTTTCCTCCTGCTGCAGGAACTAGGCCAGGGATCTGCTGTTGGGGATGAGGGTCCAGCGTGGGAATGGAATGGCCAACCAGAGCCTCACCTTCAGCCTGCACAGCCGAGCCTTCGGTCTTGGATGGTGTTGTCAGTTTTTTTCTCCTCTGTTTCTTCACCATGGGAGAAGGAGGGGGTTCCCGACTCAGGGGGCTCAGGTCTCCAGATGGGGTACAGTCTTAGGGAGGGGGACACAGCTACCTCAGTTGCCCCTCCACAAATTTCCTGCTTTTGGGGGGGTTACTGGAGATTGAACTTAGGACCTTGAGGATGCTTAGGTAAACACTCTACCACTGAGCTCTAGCCCCTGCCCAGATTTCCTGATTTCTTTTCTTTTTTGGTACCAGGGATTGAACCCAGGGTCACTTAACCACTGAGCTACATCCCCAGACCTTTTTATTTTATTTTATTTTTTAAATTTTATGACAGGCTTTTGCTAGGTTGCTTACAGCCTTGCTAAGTTGCTGAGGTTGACTTAGAACCTACAATCCTCCTGCCTTAGCCTCCAGAGCTGCTGGGATTATAGGCATGTGCCACCACACCCTCTTCTTCCTCTTTTTAAATTTTATTTTTTATTTTTTTTGGTGGTACTGGGGATTGAACCCAGGACCTCCCACATAATAGGCAAGTTACTCTTCCATTGAGCTTATTCCCACCCCTGATTTCTTGATAGCCTGTCTTCTCCTCTGAACTAGCTTTGGCATTTTGGGGTGTCCTTCCTCAACTGTCCCTCTCCAGGAGAAGCCCCCTGGATCATTCCTGGGGAGATGGACATGTTTAGAGTCAGATATGAACTGAGATCCTCACTCTGCCACTTATTGGCCTTGAGACGTTGAGTAAGTTACTTAATCTTGTAAGTCTCAATTTCTTCATCACTAAAACATGGAGAGTAATCTTGACCTGATAAAGTTGTTGTGAGGATCATTTATTACAATGTTTTATACAGACGTATGTAGATATTATTTTTTATTTTCAGACATTCTAAATGTTGATGCTGGACAATGTTCTCAGTTTGTTTAAGTCTCAAGCCCATGAGGTAGAAACTATTATCTCCATTTTAACAATGAGGAAATTTAGACATGGAGAGTTTGAATAATTTGCCCATGTGATAAGTCAGGATATGGGTTCTGGCAGTTTGGCTCTAGAGCCCATGTGTCTTAACCATCATGATAGACACAGTGTGGCTGTTTGGTGCTGGGCACCCAGCAGACACTCCATGTGTCCACTTGTGCATTTATTCCAGATCCAGGCCTCTAACCCCACTGTACTTCCCATCTACATCCTATTTGGCTCTGAAAGATAGTGGATGAAGGGTGATCCCACTGACCAGTGCTGAGGGCTCGGGCCAAATTCCGATCTGGTTTCAGCAGGTGCCTGGTGCTCTGGTCTGGTGGTGGCTGCAGGGAACTGGGGCTGGGGCTGGGGCTGGGCATGGGAGTCGTGGCTTCTGTTGGAAGGAAAAGAGGATAAAATGTCAGTGAACTTCTGTGTTCCTGTACCCTTCCTTATTTGGTCCCTCCTGATCACCTGCTTTCCCACTTATCCAGGGTCAGCCCCTATTCCCCTCTTATCCCTCTCTTTTATCCATCTCTGGATCCTCTCCTTCCCCCTTGTCATGAGCCCCACTCACCAGGGCCTTCACCCATCTGGACAGTGCTCATGTCTTTGACCAGCCCGTTGATGCTGGCTGAGGGACCAAAAGCAGATATGGCCCTTGGAGGCCGCTTTCCTGGGACTTTGACTGTTGTTCGCAGCAAGTCCATCTCCTTGCCATGGGTACTGTGGATATAATCCTGGAGGGGTACAGAAAGTTGAGAGTGTGGAGAAGGTTAGGATCCTTGGTGGTTCTAGGAAGCAGTCAATAGTATGGGATGGAAAGGGGGCCCCAGGCACTGACAGGACTGGAATGAACTTCTAAGAGAGGAGCCCATCAGACTTGTTCCAGAATTATTTCCTCCATAAAGCATTATCTGAGTGGCAGACCAGGAACAGGCCCTTCCTAAGTGTTCTCTCTCTAGACTGCCAGCATGGGCAGACAGCAGGTTCTTAACATGCTTCCTAAACTTAAAAGAATAGAACTAGATCTCCCCAGAGATTATGTTAGTGCTTATCAGAAACACAGACAGGTAGAGCTGGAAGGGTATTCCGAGGCTGGCCAGGATGCCCAGTCTCTGCTACTCACATTAATGCTGGGGTGGTAGAGTAGGAAGCCATTACTGGACAGAGTCACATATTTCTTCTTCCATTCTTTGTTCAAGGAATTGCCACTTCGCTTTAGTAGGAAGCTCTGGAGTACAGAAAAAGGGGTGTGAAAGAAAAGCCAGCTAACACCAACTCCCTGCCTTCCCCCAATCCCTAGACTACTCACTTGTTTGATAGGGATGGCTCGCCCACTTCCGGTTGTCTCTCCCCGACTGTCCAAGCTCCTCTTTTCAGAGTCACTACCCCGACGATTCTGGAATGATTATTGGAATCAGAGGATTGATAGAGAGATACACTGATGGAAGGACAGGGAAGACAAATAAAGAAGGGTCCAACAGAGGGGTCTAAGGATGAGGAAAGATGTGCAAGTAACAGAGGACAGGAGAATAAGGAGTCAGTATGCCCAATACCGCAAAAAGACTGGTCCTGCGCTTGGCTGCCCGGTGCAAGGACCCTGGAGTGCTCAATCCAGCCACTGCAGCTGCCTCAGCTCGAAGCTCCCGGTGACCAACATTGGGTGAGGATGGTAGAGAGGAAGAGTAGTCGCTAGTGTGGCCTCCATTACTAGCCTGAGGACATATGGAGGGGTCAGCAGAGCTGAGCTATTTCCTCCCCCAGACAAGCTACTCTTACATCTGATTCTGGGGAACTGGAGACATTACTTGATCTTCTCACTCTTCATTTACATTATAATTAATAGTAAAAATATATACTAGCATTGTTACTGTGCTTTAAGTTTTGCAAAGGTTGACTTCACAAGTATCATGCCATACAATTTTCTAGATAATCTTGGGAAGTGAGGCGACTTGCTCAAGGACAAATGGTGACTCAAACTTGGTTGATTTCCTCAAATGCACTTTCTACACTTAGTATCACCACCATTCCCTCTTTTTTCTCCTGCTCCCCAAACCTCTTTGGTATTCTGTGTCTATCTTCAGATCCCAGCCCATTTTCTGTTGTCCCTCAAACCCCAACTCACCTGCCCAGCTACAGGGGTGGAAGCAGCTGAGTGACTTGGGGAGCTGGGCAGGGACTTGCAGGCAGCCAGAAGCTGTTGCTGTTTGCGCAAGGTCACCACCTTCTGGGCCACTTGAAGGAACGAGTGAGGGAGAGGAATGAGCACAGCAGATACACAAGACCACCCTTCCATGTCCAGCTTTGAGAAATCCCCAGCAGATAACATAGGCTCCAACTTCCTTGTCACTGTGGCCTATGCCCCCTGTAGCCTTGCCAGTTCCTGAGCCCAGAAAGATCTTGTGCTATAAAGCAAAACTTCTCTGGTCTCCCTGGTCTCTCTCCCTTCCACAGAAGCTAATTTCCTTTGTCATTGGCTGACAAAGAGGCCTGGATTCCAGTCCTCTAGAATATCCCAGGCTCTCAGCTCCCTGCTTCCTGCATACACTGGGGATAGCCACACTCACCCTCCTGGAAGACCCGATCCACATTCAGCCCATAGGTTGCACAAGTCTCATAGTAGCTGCAGCGTTTCATTTCTGCACACAGAGCCCTGGCACGAGCATCACCAACCACCCGAGGAGAGGAAGCACTGATCCTGTCTGAGGGAATAGGAAAGGGGCAGGATACGATGAGGGGCCCCTTCCCCCCACTATTCATGATTCTCTTTATCTATGCTCCAGGCTTATGCTGAACCCACTGAAGGCAGAGTATCAACGAGCATCTGTCCTTGCTCAAATAGAATGGCAGTATGTAAGTTCTGAGTGTAGGGCCCAGGTCATATGCGCAGCTGCAAGTAAGAAGGCAAGGCATAAGCAGTTCAAAAAATACTCCAGAGGAGAGTGGAGCTATCCTGACAGGGTAGCTTCCTGACCCCATCTGAAGTGGCTGAAACTCGTGAGTGATAATTACCCTGCCCTGGAAATCTATGGAACCATGATCCGAGAGATCACATGGCAGTGCAGATGAGGAAAAGGTTGTATGCCCATCAGTAACAGGTGCACTGCTCATTCTATAGTGAGAAACCAAGAGGAAAGCAACAGGTGGAGGCTGGCACCTGCAGCACAGGCATCCAGACAGAGAGCCTGCCAGGTAGATACAGGTGGGTACTGGCAAAGCTTTTCCTGTCCCAGTGAAGTTTGAGAGCCTGAGTCACTACTTTGAGAACTAAAAGGGGTTTTCTGCCCTTCTGTTTTCTCCAGGTGCTTTCTCTTTGTTTTCAGATAAGTTCCTTCAAAAGGTGCCAGCCTGACCCATCTGTAGCAAGGCGGAAATGGAAAAGGCTTTGTATCTATCCTACTTGGGATTCTCTATGTGCTTTGGTGGTGGCATTGGGAAATGGCAGTGTGAGAACACAAGGTAGGTGACATCTCAGGAAAGGAACAGAGATGGCCATTATGGCTGCCTTTTCCACCCTGGCAGTCCCCTTTTCTCTGCTCAGATGTTGGAAAGTTTGTGATGCTTTCATGACTTCCTTATTGAAAGATCAGGCTCCCTCCAGAGGTTTACTGAAATTCAAGTAGCCATTTCTACACCTTACTGAACTCAACTGCACTGGGCAATATCCTAGGGGCATCCCAAGACCTCCCCTGAAAGCACTATCTCTTCAACCCCTCCTTACCTTGTGTCCCCACCAGTGCCAGGGCCAGGCCTCCTCGTCCCTCCCCCCGAAGGGAGCTCAGCTGCCCGTGAAGACGGCTCACAGCTTGGAAACTGTTCTCATCCTCCAGGCTGAAGACGAAGATCACGGCGTCTGCCCAGCCTGAGAACTTGCGGGGGTGAAGTGGCAAATGGAGGGTCATACAGGTCCACTACCTCTCTGGACTACCCAGAGGGAGAACTAGGAAACCAGAGTCCTCTCCCGTATTCAGTGCTGTCCTCAATCAATCTACCCTCCCCACTGCTTCTGCCCCTCACCTTGGCATCAGGTGCCCCAGCTTCCTCTCGTATCAGCACCAGATGAGTCTGTCCATCCACCAACATCTCTTTCTTGTACTGCTCACCTGTCCAGAAGAGTTGAAAGGATTAATAGGTCAGAGGTAGCCAGGTCATCAAACCTTTCCAGTTCCTTGTACTTTAGCTACTATGGCTTCACCATTCCCATGGTCTTCATAACTACCCAGACATTGATTTTACTCCTGAATCCCCACGCCAATCCTTAGCTTACTCTTGCTCCTGAGAACTCACTCTCAGTCTTCTCCAGCACCTGGTAAGAACCAGTCAGGAATCGGTGGATGAGCGATGACTTTCCACTCCTGGCATCACCCAGTACACCCTGAAAGCAAGGTTGTGAGGCAGAGACAATGGGAATTATGAGGGGGGAAATGCTTGGGTCTACACACGCCAGAGACTTCCAAGGGGCTGGCAGTGTTAAATCACCCAAGTAGGTCCTAGAGGTCCTGCACAACTGTCAGTTAAGAGAGAGCAGTTGTGATAAGTATGGCTTAAGTAGGGTAAGAAATAAACTCAAGCTTGAAGTGCATCACTGAAAAACATAAGCAGCACAGTGCCAGTTCTTTTGTGTTGTTTAGGAAACATTAGACCTGTGTGTGCATGGCATGTCACAGGCCTAGACACTAGTTGGAAAGTAGTACCCAATTCTAGGCAATGGTACATGAATGGTACAAAGGGCAGATGTCAGAAATGAGAAGCCTGGAAGAGGGCCCTGGACAAACAGGGAAACAAGAGCATAAAAAATGAAGAAAAAGTTGTGAGGGTGTATCAAGCCCCACAATAGTGCAATGAAAGTAGACTCCCAGGAGAGTTGGAAAACCATTCCAGGTCCTATGAGGCGGCCAAGGGCCTGGGTTACCTACCAGGCGCAGTTCGGGAATGGAGCGGCTCAAAGTCCATTCCTGGCTATTGACCACAGCCTCTGTAAGGAAAGAGGGGCAGTAAGAGGGGAGGCTGCTGCCCAGGAGGACTCCCAACCCTCATCAACCCCTCCTCTCTTTTGAGTGTCCCTTAATACCCAGGACCCTGCCTGCCTGCTCTGGAGAGGTTTGTGCAACAGATAGGTCTGAGAGTGGTCCCCAGTCCTCCCATCCTAACCGCTCTCCCCACAGCTGTTGCCACCGCTCAGTGGTTGCTTAGCAACAGAGCTAGCAAGACAAAAATACTTCAGTTGGCATCTCCCTTAAAGCACATCCCTAAACGGTGGGTCCCTGCCCCAGACCGGGAGACAAGGCTCTCACGGTGGCAACTTCTTCCCTCTGGAAGAAAGAGGAGGGGCTCCTCCCTGACGGAAAGATTCCCAGGACCGATCCTGGGAGGAGGTTCTGGCACTTAGAAGGGAGTGAGTCTTCCTCAATCTCTATTTCACATAGAGAAACTGAGGTGAGGGCTTTCCCTCCCCCTTTTCAAGGTCAACCGCACAGTGGCTCTGACCACCCCCCCCACACACACACACACTCCAAGGGATAGGGCTTGGATTTTCCTATACCTCCCTCTCCCACGGCTTCCCTCGAAACACCCTCTAAAAGAACTATGGGGAAAGGATCCATCCCCTGCCCTAGAGAAACCACAGACCTAGGGTGGGGTGGGGGGAAGGATGCTCCTTCCGCCCCGCCAGGTCCAGCCCCCGCGCCTGACACTGGCCGGACGTTCCCGGGGCGCCACAGCTGCCGCGGGAACTCTGGGATCCGGAGCCATCTGCTCCCACCCGCTCCGGAGCCAAACCCCAGGGGCCGCCCCCGCTTCCAGACCCGCCTCCCCTCAGGGGAGTGTGAGCTTGTGAGCCGAACTCAGTCCCCTGCCTGTTTACCTCAGTTAAAAATAATAATAATAAAGACACCCCTGGGTGGCACTACCTTCCCCTGTACGGCCTCCCAATTCTCCTGGTGTAAGAATTGCCTTTGCAACAGTTCCGCCCCCCACCCCACTCACTCCGGGGTCAGCCCCAGGCGGGTTTCGACGCTGCTGTGGAGCGGGGGTGGGCAGTGGGGGAAGTGAGGCTTCCTATCCGCGTTCTCTCACTTCACGTTTGAATATTCAAGCACGTTCCAGCCCCCGCGCACTTGCGGACCGCCCAGTCCGCCTTTCCTGCACGGAAAACACCACTAGCCTGCTCTCAACCTAGAAGACCTGTTCCTGGCGAGGAGCTGTCTGCAAGGTCACTATCATGCCACCTGCCCTAAGTGCTCAGGGAAAACTGAGGTTTTCTCATCCCCTTCACCTTCAGTGCCCCTCTAGACAAGGCAAAGCACGTTTCTGCGCTCCCAGAATCCAGCGGAGGATGAAAGTGGGATCTGGGACTTCTCTGGTAGCAATTTCCTACAGTCACTCTGACCAAGGGCATTCACCCCCACACCACCACCACCACCACCAAAAAAAAAAAAAAAAAAAAAAAAAAAAAAAAAAGCTCTGAGGCTCTCTGAATCCCTCCAAAATCAAGTCATCACTCACGGTGCACAGTGTAACTGCTCCTCCCGCGTCAGGGACCTCTTATTTGCCTCAGTCCTTAGCAGAGGAGTGAGCCTGGTTCCCCGTCCACCCAAGGGAAAAGCTTTCCTAGTTTTCTGCTCCTCCACCCCCAATTGAGCATTCCAGGTGCCCTCCCCTCCTTGTTCTCAGGCCCTGATCCTACTCACTAGGGGAGGCGCGGAGATCAGCACCCAGCAGCTCCCTGGACCCGCTGCCAGAAGACAGGCCCACGGGACCTGGAAGGGGCCCTGAGCCAGGAGGCCCCCCTGTACTCTTGGTGAAGATACCGCTGATAAACTTGAGCATCTTGCGGTCGCGAGTGGATGCTCGGCCCCCCTCCCTGCCCCGTTTCAGCCCCGGAGCTGGAGGCTCCAGAGTGATTGGAGGTGCTGGCCCGGGGGGCTGCGCGGAGGTGGCGGTAACTGCAGCGCCAGAAGCCGGGATTGCTGGGATGGTTAGAGGAGGAGGAGAGCCGGCAGGCGGTCCTGGGTGCAAGTCACTGTTGTCCAAGGTCTTACTCTTGCCTTTTCGAGGGGACAGCTTCCCTCGGACTCCAGCCCCAACCACGACCCCACCAGAGGTCGCGGCTGCAGCGCCCCCTCCCCCGCCGGTGGCAGCAGCGGCCGCGGCTGAAGCTCCAGTCCCGGCGCTGCTCTTTGGCCCCTTGACCCTGGGCTTGCCTTCGCTTTCGGGCCATGACAGGCGGCTACCGGCGCCCTTGCCCCCGCCGGCTTTGGCTCCACTCGTGGTCACGGTCTTGCAAGGCTTGGGAGCCGGCGGAGGAGGCGCCACCTTGAGCCTCCGGCTGCCTGTGCCAGGATGAGGGGAGGACGAACCGGGGACGCCGCCGACTGGCCGACCTTCGGGTTCCGGGCCCCCCCAGCTCGGGCTGCTGAGTAGAGGGCGTCGGGAGGAGGTGGGGGCACCCCCGGGTTTGGGGTCGGGGCTCAGTCCCCCGGAGAGCTGGGGTCCCGGAGGGGCCGCCCAGAGGGAGAGTCGGCGGCCCGGAGCGGGGGAGACCGGGCGAGCCGGACTGGCCGGAGCCGGGGACAGGGCTGGGGGCTCCGCACCCCCCGCTCCCGCGCTGCTAGTACTGATCCACAGCGCATCCTGTCGGTGGAAAAGACGCTCGTGCCGCTTCTTGCCCGACTCCTCCGCGCCTCGGGGGCTGCCAGGATCCCCGGTTTCGGAGCCTCTGGCCCCAGGGGCGCCGGCCGCGATAGCAGACGGAGAAGGCGGCGGCGGAGGAACCGACTCGAGCTTGACCAGGGTCAGCGAGATGAGGTAGGTCGTTGTCCGGCGCTGAAGCGCGCCCGCGCCCCGGCTCATGGGGCCCGGAGACCCCCGAGCTGGGGAGGGGAGGGGACTCCCCCGGACTGCCTCAGGGGGGCCCGGCCATGGGGCCGCCCTGCTCGCTGCCCCCAGCCCCCGGACCCCGCTGAGCCCACAGTCCGGCTCCGCTGTCGCCGCCGCCTCCGCCGCCTCCGCTTGCGCCCCCCTCCCATCACATGGGGCTCCCCCTCCCCATGCTCCCCACCCTGCGCCCCCACCCCCGTAGAGCCCCGGGACCTTGGTGATGCTCCGGGGAGGCGCGCCGGACCGTGCACCCCGGCCTGGGTGGGGGCGCTGAGATGGGCGGAGGAGGGCGGGGAGGACAGTAGTGGGGGCAAATGAGAGAGAGGGAGGAAAAGGGGGCAGAAAAGGGGACCGAAGGCTAGGAGAGAAGAACCAATGCGGGGGAGGCAAGGGAATGGAATGGGGACTGAAGGGCCAGGGGCCAGGGATGCGGTGTGAGAGGGGGTCTTGAGGAGGGTGGAAAGCTAGTGGGGCTTGCGGTGCTGGGGATTCGCAGGGGCGCGGGGAGGATGCTGGGGATGGAGATGTAGGAGGCGGCGGGGGTGGAAGGAGGGGACAGGAGGGGGTGGGAACCAACGGATCTGGGGTCTGGGAGGGAAGGGGCGTGAGATCCCGGTGAAGAGTCCGGGGGCCTTGCCCGGGCTCGGCTGGGTCCGGATGCGCGCTGTGTCCGGGCGCTCCCCTCACATTGAGGAGGAGGCGGCCCCCGGCCCCCCCTACCCCTTCCCCCCCACCACCTCTCTAGCAGCACCGCTGTCTGCGAGGGCGGTGCAAAATCCAGGACTGGATTTCCCTCCCAAATCCTGGGCTGGATTTCCTGGGACTTGGACTCATATCCAACAACCTAGCCCCCTCCTCTTGAACACCGAGGCTGGTGAGCAACACTGTGGGGTGTGGCACTTAGGGACAGGGGTAAATATAGACTTATTGAATGGGCAGATGCCAGGAACATAGCAAACTTGGGGTCGCTGAAAATTCTGGGGAAGCTGAAGTGGGAAAGTGGGGAACCCTGAAATCCCTTTCCCGAGACCCTCCCAGGGGACCAGATGCTGTTCCTTTCTCATTCACCCAGCTCCCTCTCCACCTATACCCCTACATTTAATTCTTTGACGGGTTCCAACTTGATTTGATGGCCCCAAAGTGAACTTGGAAAGTGTTCCCTAGGGATGGGGACAAACATGGGACTTAGCAGGATAAGAAAAGGGGTGTGTGTGTGTGTGTGTGTGTGTGTGTGAGAGAGAGAGAGAGAGAGAGAGAGAGAGAGTAGTGGAGAGATCTGAGGGCTCAGGAGCCTAAGCTGCCCAGTGAGTCAAAGGCCCCAGCTCAAGGTGAAACAAGAAGAAATACATGTAGAACTGACAGCCCCCCCTAATACCAAAATGCATCCAGTCTCCATAGCAACCGCAGCTCCAAGAGTGCCTCAGAAACGTGGGGATGAGAGGGAGAGGAGGGATCAGTGTGTAGAGTAGGTGGGGGACCTGACAGGGGATGCTGGGTTAGTGAAGGTACTACCCTCACCCCTGGTTACCCACCTGTGGGGGATTTTGCTCCTAGAATATAAAGACCCCTTAGTTGAAGCAGCAAGAGCCAGCCTCTTCTGGGTTTCCATTCAGTCTCCTGAGGTTTATGGGGCAGGGCTCTTTCAGAAGGTTAAAGAGGAAGTAGGCAGAGCAAACTGGACATCATTTACTGTGTCCCCCACCCTTCTAGAAGCCTTGGAGTTCAAAGCTTTCTGTCCTCTAGCCCCAGAGAAAAAGAAGCATGAGCAATTAGGCCTATGAGGAAGATAGGCTGAGACCCCAGGAGTGGCAGGAGTGGGCTGGGAAGGAGGAGGTCTCCCTGCAGCCTTTTGGAGACCCCCTCCTAAGGATTTGGAGAGTCTAAGCGGTCCCTTAATTTGGCATCCCACCCTCCTGACGCAGAGACTATATTAAGTGCTGCCGTGGGCGGCTCTTGGAGGCAGGAGCCCAAGGCACACTCGGTCTGGGGGGGCTGAACCAGGATGCCAGGAGCCCTTTGCTCTTCAAGAGGCCTGTATCCAGTCCCTCCCAGGTCCTGTCCTGGAGGTCAACAGCTTCTTCCCCACACCCTGTAGAACCATGACACCACCATCCCCATTTCAGGAGACCCTTCACTGGTCTTTTTTGAAGGAGAAGGTGAAGAACAATTATTGGCTCTGCCTTTATCTTCCTTCTTTTGATGGCCTCAGTTTTCCTTGAGGATTCAATAGTAACAGATTTCTGACTCGGGGAAGGAGTAGAACAAATCACTTATATAGAATACAGCCTTGAGCTAGGGGTCTCAGTGGTAGAGCAGTTGCCTGCTTGAGGCCCTTGGTTCTATCACCAGTAAACACACACACACACACACACACACACACACGGAGTCTCATCAGCCTCTACCTTCCTTTCTCTCTCCTTTTCCAGAGCTAAAGGGAGCTTCTTTACCTGGCCTACACCTCTCTCCTCCTTTGTTTTTTTTTTTTAAAGGATATTTTCATTGTATGCTTTCCACGGACACTCCCCACCCCAAGTGCTGGGGATCAAACCCAAAGCCTTGTGTATGCAAGGCAAGCATTTGACCACTGAACTATAACATCAGAGCCCCCCTTTTAAAGTCAGGGGACCTTAAGAGTTCTTTCCTAGGAGGCCCCATGTGCCACTCCCCTGAGGTCTGCCTTTCCAAATGCAAAGGCTATCAGGGGAAAAGTCAGGTGTAGTTACTATCAAAGGGTGGGGACAGAAGCTGAGAGGAGCACTAGCCTCAGAAGGACAATGGAAAGAGGGAGACATGGGAAGGGAATCATACTGTCCTACTAGGAACCCAAACCAACCATTTCTTCCCCCATGCTCTGGTGGCCCATCAGAGAGATGTGGCAGAAGCTATCCATGGTGGAAAGAATGTTCTCTTGAGTCCCTAAGTAGCATCTAGGAATGGAGAGGACTAGCTAGGTGTGGTGGTGCAAGCCTGCAACCACAGGGACTCAGGAGACTGAGGCAGGAGGATCAAAAGTTAAAGGGCAAGCCTGAGCAAGTTAAGGAGGCTCTAAGCAAATTAGCCAAACCATGTGTCAAAATGAAAAAGGACTGGGGATGTAGTTCAGTGGTAGAATGTTTGCCTAACATGTGAGAGACCCTGGGTTCAATCTCCCCATTACTGGGGGTGGGGGTGGGAAAAGGAGGAGGAGGAGAAGAAGAGGAAGGAAAAAAAAGAATGGAGGGCTGGGAATATAGCTCAGTTGGCAGAGTGCTTGCCTTGCATGCACAAGGGCCTGGGATCAGCACAAAAAAAAAAAAAAAAAAAAAAAAAAATGGAGAAAGACTGAAGTGACTGGAAAAGATCAGGATATGATGGAGGATGTGCTTCTACCAGATACCCTTCATGAACTAGGGAGCTTCCCTTTGTGAGTTCTTTGCTACATCAGAGGTGAATGAGATGAGAACAAGCTGAAAGTGACATCCAGTTCCACCAGTTCCTTAGTGGTGAGGCCTTATGGATGGAGAGATTCTGTTCCTGCCAGGGCCCCACCACAGGATTGAAGGCTGGGGTGGGCAGGAGGATGTGGCGGATGGTGTTGCCATGGCAGCACTTCCTCCCTGTGTTGTCATCACTTGCTCTAATGGCACTAAGGAGGTAGAGCGGAAGGTATGTGGGGGGAAGACAGGAACAGGAACATGAGGAGGAGAGGGGACCAAGGAGAGTCATAGGGACCCTCTCTTCACTTTAGCTGTGCTGAGCATGGTCTTTAAATGTGCCTGGAAGCCAGAGTGTGTGTATGTGTGTCTGTCTGTGTGTCTACAACTGGAAAACAAGAGGTCATTTATCCTTAGTGGGTCCTGGGAATGAACACAATATCCAGTCCCAGAACCTCTTGCCCCGACTGCTTCCTGTTCTATACTCCCTAAGCAGGGAATACATCTACCATGGGTCTGTCACAGCCCGTCTTCCCCATGCTTCCCCATGCTTCTCCACTGCCAAGAAGGTCAGGTCAACAGTGACCTGTATTTTGTTCTCTTGGGAGAAGGATTAGAGTTGTGGAAAAGGAAGGATGATAACCTCCCGTGTCTTTTTCAATCCTCCCCAAATGTATTCTTCCCTAGAGTCCTAGCTCTGTCCTGGGGACTAGGAAGTAGCTGATTGAGAAACGATACATGATACTGCTAGCTCTTCTATGCCCTTGCTGGTTCCCGATACATACAAGTTGGGGGACTGATACTTCTCTTACCTTGTATGTTGTTCAGCGAGGCCTGGATGCTGTCCCGAAGATCAGGGTCACCCACTCTTTCTGCCAGCTTCCTGAGGTGGCTTAGAGCCTGCTTGGCCACCTCATGTCGTCTGACTTCTGCTCTCACTGTGGCTATAGCCAACTGCCTCTGGGCATGCATGTTGCCCAGACCTGTCTTGCCAGACTAACAGCAACCTCCTGCCCTGAAGCCCATGATTCTGTAGCCCCCAAACCTTAGAAGGCCCCTTTTGCTGTGCCCCAGAACTCCCCGCCCCTGCCTGCCCTTCCGTCTGTCGGCCTCACTTCCTGACTGGTGAGTTTCAAACCCACAGCCTGGGACAGCACTACCTCCTGCACCTCCCACTCCCTCTAGCGTTGGCTCATTAGCCCTGCCAGCCAGCCCCTGGTATGATTTCCCAGTCAGGTAGAGGGAGAACCTTAGCAAGTGTCCCAGAGCCTCCTGTGGGAGGTGGCTAATTAAGATGGGTGTCAGTTGTGGGAAAATGTGGCCAGCCAGTCTCGGGTACAAATCCAAAGTTGGGGATCTGCAAACTTGTGTTGTCTCAAACTCACACAGAAATACATACACAAGTAGTCTATTACTCATAGCCCTGAATTCTAGTGTACAGTTATACTTACCACTCTCCACACCCTTTAATGAGCCCTGAAGACTAATATCTTGTAATGTAACCCTTTAGTTATGGGGAGAATGAGTTATAAAGAATGAAAGTAACCAATAAACAGATAAAACTATCATGATGTGTGTTCAATTATTTTCATAATAATTAACGTGTATAATGTATAATAGTTAATACTTTCATATATATTGTCTTCATAACAGGCCCAAAGGGAAGGATTATTTATCTTTATTATATAGAAAAGGAAATTAAGGCTCAGAGAGGCCAGAAACAGGTGAGCTTTTCAACAAAGATATGGTCTTCTGATTACAATTTTAATGACCTTTTCATCACACACACACACAACACCAAGATGCCTGCCAGACAGTTTCCCTTCTCCCTAATATAGTCAGACCTTTAATTAGAACCTGTAAGAGAAGAGGGTGCATAAGGAATTGAAGGAGAAATGGAAGTGGAGGGTAGGATTAGGGGTAAAAGTTGGTAGGTAGTGTGACTTAGTTACTTTGTTTCAAGACTTAAACCTGCCGGCCTGCCAATTTCTTGTGTGTGTGTGCGTGTGTGTGTGTGTGTGTGTGTGTGTGTAGAATGAGTTATAAAGAAGGAAAGTAACCTATAACCAGATAAAACTATTGTGTTGTGTGTTCAATTAGTTTCATAATTAACGTGTATAATGTATAATAGTTTACAATACATACATAAAATAAATATATAAATATATATATATATACACACACACACACACACACATAAAGTGTGTGGGGGGGGTAACCAGGTAATCCTCACAACAATCCAGAACTGTTAGAGGTGTGTTATTAAAGTAAGTG